CACATTTTTGGTGTCGAGACCACACTTGAATAAGAAATTTCAAAATTTAAGCAAAAACAAAAAATCTAATTATTTCGACAATTTCTGAATCAAAAATATGTTAGAATTGTTAGCTCGTCATTTCATAATGATATTTGTTTACTGTAATTCATAATGAAAAAGTATTGAAATTTTCCTTTCTATGCAACTAGCGTGTATATAATGCGCTTATCGAGTTTTTAGGTTTTTCTGTTGATCCCAAAGCATAGGTTTATATTTGCTAAGAGTAAGAAACTATCATCCCTAGAGAATGCTTGTGTATGGAAGCATGTTATACTAATACAATAATAAATTGACAAACAGCGATTTATAAGCATAATGAAGTGGTTTTATTTTGTCAATTCACAATCCCTTGAGGAAGTAATAGTCCATTATGTGTTTCTCATGTGAGTTGTAAAGAAAAATAGGCGTTATATTGAAATCATGCTTTGGGCTTGTGACATGCTATTTATGCCACTGAAATCAAATTTACAATAAACTTTCAAATTAAATTGAAAAAAGTAGTTGAAATAGCAAACAAAATAAGAAATTTATGTTCCCTACGGACTTTCGCACATCTCAACAAATTTATCCTGATCAATTGGTTCCACTTTCTCAACTGATATATAATAGTCCTAGCCTTTCTCTTACAGTTACAGCAATGGATTTCGTAAGCCTACTCATTTCGTAATTACGAAAAGTATAATATTCTTGGATTGTTATATGAAACTACATATGCTATAGCGTGAAAGGTTCCCAAAGTTATCCTAGTACAAAGCTGTTTTAACAGTAACTGAAAGAATCGTCATGAAAGTAATTACGTCGTTTCAAAACATTCTACAAATGAGTCTGACAAAATTACATTATAGATGTATTTTTGTAATTTGTAAATGCTACAACATTCAATTCTGTAATCTTTTGTAGATACGCGAGAGTGATTAAAAATACAGACAGAATTTTCTTATGTATTATAATTTATAACAATGTTCTAATGTGTCTACCGTTTGAATGGTTCGTTTTGATTATTCGTTGAAAAAAATGCAGAGTTTAGTCTTTAACGAAAGGCAAATTGTTTTATTTTTTCAACTGAAAAGTTTACAACTTACAACAATGGGTTCCAAACTGTGGGGCACGCCCCCTGGGGGGGGCGGTCACGATTCGAGGAACTTTCTGCCAAAAAGCTCGCACATCACATTAATAAAGAGTAAGTGATTGGTTTCACGAATTTAATATTTTTTCTTTGAAATAAATTTTTAACACTTGATAATTCTTAAGAAAACTGATAAAAGAGAGACAAAGAAAGTACTGTATTTGCTGTTATTATCACTTGTGAAAATTATTCAGTATGAAGGTGGGGACGTCGAGAAAAATAATGCTGAGTTGGAGGGCGCCACAACATAAAATTTGGAAACCACTGACTTACAAGGTTTCAAGCAGAGATATGGTTTCAAGAACTAATGATATCGAAACAATAGGCCTAACTCATAAATAAAACAGTCACTTGTTAAATTTCCTTTCGTATCCAGGGAGTAAATAGAAAAAGTAACTAACTAACTCAATGATTAATTAATCAACTGACTCACTTCTAATTAACTTGCTGTCTGATTATGGCGTCAACAACAACTCTCCCGCGTTTTTGTACAATATTGTTGTAACGTGTTCATTTGTTGAGCTGGTTCTTCAATAAACGTTTGTTACAACCACGTTCACTTGTAGTCCTAATTTAATAAACTTTTCAACATAAACTCCGAAACTAATGTGGGGATAAGTTCAGAAACAAGGTTTTAATAAAAATTCCGAGACTAACTTAATTAGTTTTGATAGATAGATAAACAATTAACCCGCCAAGTAACTGAATAGCAGAATAGATACGCTAATTCTTACTACTAACACTGAATAACTTTTCTGCCACTGAACTGACGCAATCAATACTCATTCGTTTTTATATCGTAACTTTCCTGAACAGTTTTGATCTTATCATCATCGTTATCACAAACTCCCTCTAGCAAACACTTTATTGAAAACATTAAAAATATAGCTTACAACAATATATCCCTCCCCCCACCCCCCATGCCAAGACTCCCTCTAGCATGCCGTACCCAAGTGTCCAAATCAAAATATTAGAAACATAGTTCACAACAGTAATATAAATTTACTCGAGTGATTTATATGTTTATATCAGTATATTTCGAAGAATGATTATCGTATTTCATTTATATTTGCTTTGCTAGGTTCGGAACCTAAAACAATTCTCATTGGTAATAAATCAAATCTGTTAAAACATAAAGGATAAAATGATATAAAAAATGTTCACATTCTGATTTCTGTAAAATTTAATTTCTACGAAACTGAACTATGAGTAAGAAGACTCATAACAGCGCAAGATTAATATGGAAATTTCCTTATTAACGTCAAGGCTGTTATATGCTACTTCCCATTCCCTATACTATATAAATTTAACTAACTAAAGAGATTCTGAATTTCTAGAAGAGAAGAAGGTGAAAATTACATTAAATGGCATTCCTTGTTTTTCATTTAGTATGTAAGACTACTGCGTTTAATAATCAGACTAATTTCAGTGTAAATTATAATAGATATTTTAAATTTTCTTCTTTCAATTGTTGTAAGATATGCATGGTTATTTATTGGTTGTGAAGAGCTTCCCTAACAGTATTACTGAAAAGTATAATAGAAGCTTGTACAATCTCAACGCGCTAGGTTATTTAAGTATTTAAGATTTCCATGATGTATATCTTACATAAATAATTAAAATTCCAAATCGTCAGGCTCGGAATTCATTTTAAGCATTTTAATATAGGAAATTGATAAGTATTCGAAAAACATTTTAAATCTGATAATTTGTTTTGCAAAGAAACTGTAATAATTTGTTATTTCTTTCTTAAAGTAAACTACATTACTGGAATATAATTACA